TGAAACGAAGAGGCTACTATGAGTCGTAGGCCTATGAGGTGGACGCGTACGTCATGATCGGAGATTTAACTTTTTAACTAACGCTGGAGCTGCGTGTCTGCTATTTAGAGAGTACTCTACTGGATATAGTTGCCCCACTGTTAAGAGATTGTAGACAGGATACGTACTTTTAGAGTTTGGTTTCCTTCGGTTTTGGAATTTAACTACTCTTGGGCACGTTTTTAATTTTATATTTATGTTATTTGAAAGTACTGCCCACCAAAGCGATTTCGAGCTTGAGTGCAAGCGCAGGCAAAGTTAATAAATCACGCGCTAAAGTTTTATCATAGTGAATTACGTGTAGGAGAATTGGAAATAACACTAAACTAAAAATTTACATACTGTATACTGTTTTTTAAGCCAATAAAACAAACTCGAACTGTTTCTTAGTACTATTTTTAATTTTGAGTAATCATATCAAGTTAGATCATAATGAGAATAAGAATTATAAAGTAAAATATTGAATAAATTTTACTATATTTTATGTGATTAAAACATCTACTATAATATGGAAAAATTTATTTAACCTTCTTAATCTGTGGCTTCTTTTTTTTAAAGTAAATTACTATTATATAAACTGCTGGTCAAAAATTTTGCTACCTTTTAAGGAGTACCAAGGTACTTCGGTTTTTACGTCTGCATCTCTTGTTTTAATATATTACAGAAATTGTAGTATCTGGTTACAACGCATTAGAAGTTTGATATACATCATCATTAACTTACTAATACTATTAGAACTAAGTAGTTTTCTAATTATAGTTGTGTGATACACAGCTCTTTTCTAAAAATTTTTTTTCTTATCTACGCTATACTAATCGCGCGTTCAACTACTCAGTCTGACATTTGGCTAATGTGAAAAAATGTAACAACTATGTGATACGTAAAATCTTATAGATAAGGCGTGTACAACTATAATATAATTATTTTGTGGATTGATATAGTCGAAGTCATTAAAAATTTAAGGGCGAGCACCAACAATATTGATTTTGTGTAAAACTTTTTTTTACCTTTGCAAAGATAACATTCACATTACTAAAACTTTACTAAAACAATTGATAATGTGATATATTACATATACTTTTTTTTTGATAAATAATTTTTAAAGCTAAACTAATTCAAAAGTAAGTTCCCTTGTATGTGAAAATATAATAATTTTTTATAAATAAGTAGTTTTAAAGACATTAATTTACTTTTGGAAAGTGCACACACATTTAACACTGGGTGAGATTCTCGAGTTTAAAAAAGTACTTTTTCTATTAACTCAGCCGGTCACTAAAATTATATATAATTTTGAGGTCATAAGAATCCTAAAGTGAACATAAATGTACTAATGCTTTCTGGATGAAACATATTTAATTGATACAAATCATAATGATATCAAATTAAAAACTAATAACTTTATAGGTTGACTTTTAATTTTATTATAGTGTCACTTTACCTTTCAAAATAAGTTCACTTCAAAAAAAATTTATTATGGAACTTGTATTCGCCTTAATTTAAGCACTTTTAATTAAAGATCTAAGAGCTCTTAAAAGGATAAAGTGATTGAAGCACACCACGCAATCCAATACAGCGATCAGCCCCCTTAAATAGTTAACTTTTTACGCAAGCTAATTAAGATTCGTATAATAAGATTTGACCATAAACTGCCTTAAACTAATTAAATTTTTTATCCCTTCGTTAATTGGTCAGAAATTTACTTAAATTAAAACATGACAAATAACTTTGTTAAAGTTTTATAGCTATAAGTAGAGCTTGGCTTTTCTCTGGTTTTCCTGGTTGGTATAGGTTTTTTGTTAATATTTTAATGTTTTTAACCGTATTAATATTAAAGTTCTAATAACTCATTTTTTTATTTGAAATCGTATGTGAAACTGCGCTTTAGGATGGTTCCCCTCCAACCCAAGGAAGCGGTGTTAACCAGTAAACCAAAAAGGGATAGTACCGTCTATCGCAAGAAAAGCTTTACAGTTGGTGTTGCTGTAATCATCTCTCAGAATTGTTTATATCAAGAAATTTTATTTTTTTAAATATGTAGGTAAAAAAACAATCAATTGATGGTGGAGAAAATGAGCTAAAAATAGAGGAAATTTTGTCCTTGATCGATATGTCGGGTAGTTATGATTAACAAACTATTTTTTATAAAATTAAATAGTAATTTTTATTAATGTTAGCCTGCCCTTTTCCCCTTAAATTAGATCCAAAGCAATTAATATTTATAAAAGAGGGCCCTTTTGAGATTAAAAGCAAGAAAACAAAGAAGCTAGTACATGTATTCCTTTTTCAAACTTCTTTTTTACTTGTAGAATACAAGGCTAAGTTTTCGAAAAAAAGGAAAGACATACCAGAAACTTTGGATTTAAAAACTTCCTTAAGATATGAAAACGGTAGACTTCATAATGCTAACTCCGTAGGAGAATTAGCCTTTGATAAGACTATATACAAGTGGTTTTTACCTGTAGTTTACTTCAGTGAACTCGTTATGAAGGAAAATAGAAAGAATAGTATTTTTTCTTCGTCGTTCACTTTTACTTTTGCTTATGGCGAAAATTCCACTTTTAACTTCACCGTAGATAAAAAATCTGACAACCTTAATGCAGCATTTTATGATTGTTTTACGGAGCAATATTTTAAAGAAGCTCGGAAAACATATTCACCGCCCTCTACTTCTAATATGCTAGGGCAAGTGAACTCTAGCAAAGTTAATTTTACCGATAAATTAACTTCCGACGCGCTTCCTTCTGTGCCATTGCAGCTCCCTGCCTCTTTTAATAATGAACTCCAAGAAAGCTTAATAACAAAATTAAGGAAATCTAAAAGTACTATTTCTTTTGAGCAAGTAGACATTTTAGAATTCGCATCTCCGTTAGAAAAATCTGCCGAAGTTCAGCCAGAGCCCGCCCCACAAAAAAAGATTTTAAATAGCCTTCAACTGACGCTATGGAAATACCAAGGAGGAGTCGACGAAGATCTTGTAAACAGCTTGAGTTCTGAAGAACTTAAGCGCCAGGAATGCCTTTATGAAATAGTATTTAGCGAAGAACAATATATAAAGAAGCTTGAACTGGTTTTGCGCGTGTACGAAAAGCCGCTTAAAAAGCTCAATATTATTCCTCGTGAAGATATGGCCAGCATCTTAGGAGACCTGGGCTTTATATACACCATAAATAAAGATCTTTTAGAGCAACTAAAAGTTCGGCAAAAAGAACAATGGCCCCTCGTACAGGATGTGACAGATATTCTTATCCCTTTTTTGAAACAACTCGCAAAGAACTACTCTTGTCACTGCGGTAAAATTAAACGGGCTAACGAGAATTGTGTAAGACTCAGTCAGACTAATATTGAGTTCAATAGATTTTTAAACACTATAACTATTCAAAAAGATGTCGACAGTCTTGGTTTGCAAAGTTATGTAATATTACCTTTACAGCGGGTTACCAAGTACGCGTTATTACTGCGAGAATTACTCAAGTATACATCCAGTGATCACCCGAGCTTTGACAATGTTAAAAAAGCTCTTGAGCTTGCGGAGGAAGGTTTGACTATAATCAACGAAAACACCCGAGAGGCCGAAAATTATGAAAAACTAATACACATTCAAATGTCTCTTGAAGTTTCCGCAACCTTTCCGCCTCCATCCATTGTTAAAAACGGACGACTCTATTTATATGAGAATTATTTGGACATACAACTGCTTACTAAAGGAAAGAATAGGAAGATGTCAACTTATACCTTTTTATTTAACGACGTTCTTTTAATAACTAAGCCCTTTAAACCTAAGCGGTCTTCTACTGAATATACAAAAACATCGCATAAGAACGTAAGCTTCACGCGTAGGCCCGTAATTCAGTTGGAATCGAAAGAAGTTAACGAATGTCAATTTTACATGTACAGGCCCTTATTTCCTCTTATTAGTACTTTGGAAATATCCTTTATCGGAACATATCAGTACTCAATTAACCTTGAGCATGATGATAAATTTGATAAAATCCTCATTTGTGCTGAGGATGAGGACACTTGTAACAAAAATTGGGTGTCTTATCTTAAACAATTTGTTAATATCACTGACGGAGAAACTAAAAACAGCGCGAGTGACGAAAACTAACTAAATGTCTGCTGACAGTATTATCTATTTACTTTCTGCCAAAGATCTTTTACCATTTGGACTGAGAACGAGGTAAATAAACAGAATGGAAGGCCGAGCTTGAGCCTTAATAAATCCTTTTTAAAATTTAATATCGTAAATTGATAAGTTTTGTGTCAAAGCATACATAGGGGGGGGGGGGGTATTAACCGGAGTTTAACGTGCATGCCTGTAACTAGCAGCTGTTTAATGCTTTATTCATAAGGTGTAGTTTATAGACGACTTAATAATATCAAATTATCAGAAAAACGCTATTATCATGTTTTTAAAGCTTCCGAAAAATATTATTTAAGTTAAGAAGTTCATTGACGTTGGGAAGTGCTCCCAAGCTGGTACGACTCTAAAATTTGCTGACCGTTACTTCTGTCCTTTAAAACGTTTTTCAGTGGTAGGCGCTGCCCTATCCTGCTATAAAAAGCCGGCAGAGAGTATCATTTAACAGACCTACATTACAAATTATAACAAAAATTTGTATTATGCGGTTATATATGACAACAAGGACATAAAAGACGGACAAGAGAGAAAAACGAGAAGTGGAAGCGAGACAAGAGAAGACAAGACATTTTTTTTATCATGCAGTATTCTGACTGAATTTATAGTTTCACGAGATTTTTTTGCTTATCCATTTATTATTAAAAATTATGTTCATTTTATTGATGTTAATATAACGCAGAGTTGTTTATTATTTAGGTATTGACTGGAAAATGTTTACATCGTTTCAGTTAAAGTTATGAGATTCAATTTTACTGTAATGTATGCCTTCAACTTTTTTATATACTATTTTTTAAATTCATAGGAGGTGTTATAAACTTTAGGCAATGGCACAAAAACCAGAGAAAGGATAGATATGGGAAATTATATAATTTTCGTCATCCTTACTCTTTTTACTCAACCTCACTTTTTTTTTTATTTTTCTCTATATGTCCTGTTATATGTCAAAGCAACAACAAAGTAGCCTAAAATTTGGGATCACATATAGAAAAGTAGCATATCCCTGTCAATCCTAAATTTGTTTTTATTCAGTTGGCTGACGAAGTATTATTTCTTAATTCACTCCATTTAAATTAGCTTTAACTGTAAGGGTGCACACTGGAGTACATTTTCCTTGTTTATAATAAAAAAGAAAAACTTATTTGCATAAAACTAGACAATTTTATTAAATATATTAAAAAAAAAACCGCGTTGAAATTCTTTCTATAGAATACAATTTACAAAATTAAGTTCTTTTTCACGTAATTTTGTCTTCTTTAACTGTTTTTAATGTTTTTTAATGATACACATTTTAATGATACACATTTTAAAATAGTAATTAATAAAATTTCATACATTTTAAACAAGCCCTATTATTGGGTGTAATTGCGCGCCCATCCCCAACAAATGACCAAATTTGCATAATTTTCATGGCGTTTATGCCACGCAAATACCTAAGTTGTCATCAGCTTATATAATTATCTTTTGTCTTCCTGTTTATCTGTAATACCTTTTAATTTATAATTATAAGCTTAAAGGTACTTTTTAAAAACTAGGCAGTATGAAGTAGGATATTGTCCCATTGACCGTACAAAATGCTATAAAATTATGAATTTTTTAATTTTGTAATAATTAAAAATTAAATTAAGCCAAGAAATCTCTTTTTATTAAGTGATAAGCTGAAGTTTATATAATTTCAAAAGTTCATCATCAAGGCAAACAGGCGCTTTCGTGAGCAGATCAACGCCTTTTTTAATTATTATTAAATTTTCTATAAAATAATTATTTCTAATAATAACCTTTTGAATTTTTAGGAAAAGCAATAACGTCTCGTATACTTTCCGTTTTTAATAAAACACTTAACAAACGATCAAATCCTAAAAGCAATCATAATAAAAAAAAAAAAAGAATTTTTTTATAAAAAATAAAATATGAAAATTATTAAATAGTAATATAAAAAAATATATTAATAATTAGCGGTAATTAAAGTAAACAAAATTTATCAAATTAAATTATTTTGAACTTTTCATATAAAAATTTTAGATTTATTAAAAAATGATTAAACGTTTTTCTTTTATAACAAGTAACTACTCTTAAAAAATTTTAATTGTATTATAATAATAATAAATTTAGTAATAAGTATAATAATTATAATAATAATGCCCAAAGCAACTCCAGCATGAGGAGGACAGCCGCTTTCTAAAGCCTTTAATAAATGCTCAAAATCTTCTTCTTTTCTCTAAATATTAATAATTTAATACAATAAAGTTAAAATAATAATTTATATATAAAAATATGAAATTATTTTATTAAAAACTTTTTTTTATAATTTGTTATAAAAAATTTCTAAATTATGTCGTATTAATAATTTATTTGTAAAATTTATAATTTTTTTATATTAATTTAATTATTTTATAATAATTAGATATAACAATAAATTTATTTTCTAAATTATATTAATATATTATTATCATCGAAATTAGTAAATTGTATTATAATATATTAAAAAATTTATAATTATTTTATTAATATAAATTATTTATATTTTTAATAATAATCGTTATAACAATAAATTTATTTTTAAAAGTGTATTATCGAATTATATTTTATTTATAAAAATTATAAATCATTTTAATAACATATATTTTTTTAATTATAAACTGTTTTAACAATGAATTTATATTCTAAACTATTAAATAGTAGTAATCATTTATCTATAAAATTCAAAATTTTTTTAATAATCCAATTTTTTTTAATAAATGGTGATAATGAATTTATTTTCTAAATTATATTATTGAATTATATTTTATTTTAAAAATTTAAATATTATTTTATTAATATATTTTTAATAAATATTTCTTATAAAAATTAATTTATTTTCTACATTATTAAATTTTATTAATAATTTATTTATAAAATTTAAAATTAATATTTTTTATTAATATAAATTTATTTTCAATTTGAAAAATTGTATTAATAATTTTTTATATAATTTATAACTATTTTATTAATAGTAAATTGGGATATAAAATCTATTTTCAATTTGAAAAATTGTATTAATTTTTTTTACAAAAGTTTTATTTATATTATTAATATAAAATTTATTAATAGTAAATTGATATAACAATGAAATTATATATAAATTATTAAAATGTATAAATAATTTTGTTACAAAAGTTATAATTATTTTAATATAAATTTTTTTTAATAGTACTTAGTAATAATAAAGTTATTTTCAAATTGTTAGAAATTATATTAACAGTTATTAAGAAAATTTTTTATATAATTAATTCATTTTTTATTAATAATTTATTATAACAATAACTTTTACTTAATTATTAAAAAAATATTAAATAAATTTGTTATAATTTTATTTGGTAGAAAAATAAAGATTAAATACTAAATAATTAATTTTTATTTATAATTGTTATAATAATAAATTTCATTTAAAATTATTAGTAAATTATTTATTTATTTAAAAAATAATAAAAAAAATAAATAAAAATTTTTAATTAATATGTTTTGTTAAAAATTAGTACAATAACTTTATTATAGTAAATATTGAGTAAAAAAAATAGAAGGTGAAATATTAAGTAATTTAAAATTTTTTAAAAAATAATAAATTTTACTTTTAAAATTTTAGTAAAAATGCGACGTTGCACGGAAGCATCGTGAATCCTAACGGATCCACCGCCAATTTCTTGACCATTAATAACGAGATCGTAATGCAATCCGCAAACCTTATAATGAATTAAAAAAAATTAATATTATTTCAATTAAAATTAAATTTCATAAGAAAAACAAAAAATTATGTAATATTATTAATAAATAAGTTATAATTTTTATTATAACTTTTCTAATTTTTTTTATAAAAATTTAAAAATTACTTAGGAATTGCATATAAAAATTAAAGAATAACAAATAATATATATTATAATTTTAAATTGTTTTTATAATAACTATCATAAATATAAAATAAATTAAGTATAAGTCAAATTTATAATATGAAAATAAAAAAGTTTATAATAATATTATAATTTAGATTTTTATAAAATAAATTATTAAAGAAGTGAAAACTAAATTTAGTATCATTTAAAACTATATATACATTAAGAAAAATTTAATATTAATATTATATTAATTGAAATTTAAAATAATTCATTTAGAAAAAATATAGTTAAAATAAGTTTAACAATAATTTGATATTATTCTTGTTATAGCTAAAAAAAAATAGAATTAATAAGAAATTGTTAATAAAAAATTGTTTAATGCAATAAAAATAAATTAAAAGTAATTATAATTTAAATAACTCACATGAAAATTATATTAAATTATAATAAAAACTACTTATAAAAAATTACTATCCCATTTATTACACTATTAGGTATCCATATTAAAATTAAAGAAAAAATAATAATTAAAACTAATAAATATTTTTATTATATAGAAAAAATCTAATATGATATTTATAATAATTTAAAATCATTTATATATTTATAATTCATATGAAAATTACAAATTTATTTATATAACATTAAAAAAAATTAATCATGTATTTATTAGATTATTAGATATTCTACAAAAAAATGATAATTTATTAAAATTTAAAATGAATAATTATCCCTATTAAATATAAAAGTTTAATATTATATTAATTATTATTTAAAATTACTTATAAGAAAATTAAATAAAGTAAAGTTAATTATAATTAAAAAAAGTATTCGTATAAAAAAGAATTAAAAAAAATAAAATTTAAAGTTACCAATTATTCCTAGTAAATATAAAAATTGATATCAATATTATTATAATTAAAAATAAAATTAATATCAATAATTTATAATAAGTCATACAAAAAATTAAAAATATTAATTAAAAAATAATTAAAAAAAAAATTATAAACTTCATTAAAAATTAAATAGAAATTAAAATTTTAAATTATATTTTTTTTATGATAAACAAAAAAATATGACAGTAAGTATAATAAAAAAACATTTATATGAAAATAAATATTGAAGTTAATTATAAATAATAATTATTCACATTTAATTATAATTTAAAATTATTTATATAATACTTAAAAAGAAATATATATAACTTAAAATTCTTTATTTGAAATATAAAAAAATAATAATTAATAAGCATAAAATACTCTTATTATAAATAAATAAAGTCGATATTAAATTAATAATCTATAATTATCCATATGGATATTAATTACAAAAGCAAATTTAAAGTATAATTATTTATACGAATTTTAAAAAAAATAAAGTTAAAGTTAATTCATATAAAAATTAAATAAGATTAAAATTATTAAATTATAGTTTAAGAGTTTTTTTAATATAAAAATAGTTTACATTGAATTATTTATATTGTAAATCATTCAATCAGTATTGAATTAAAAAGAATTTCTATATGCAATTATTTTTAAAAAAACAATATTGAGGTAAAAATTTACTATTATTAAATTTTATTTTGTATTAATTAATAGAAATTTTTTTTAACTAAACTATTTTATAAATTTATTTTATTTACAAATAAAAATGATTAAATTTTGTTTAAGTTTTTAAAAAGTTATTAATATATATTTTATAATATTATTTATAAACTATAAAAGATTTTATTATATAAATTATAATTAGTAATTTATTATAAATTTTTTTAATTTATTATTTTAATTATTTTTATGAATAAAATTTACCTAAAAAAAATTTTATTTAAAAAAAAAAAATTAAAGTGTTGAATAAAATGATTTTAATTTATCTTTATAAATAAATTTGCATAAAAACTTTTTGATTGAAAAATCAGAATTTTTATTTATTTTTTTTTAAAGATTTACTTTATAATTTTTTAAAAAAATTATTTTCATTAAAATAATTTAAATGAAAATTTTTAATAAAATTTTGTTTTATAATAATAAAAATAAAAACATTATATATGAGTTAATAAATTATTATTATACATTGTTATAAGTTAAAAAAATATAATTATATTTAACTATTAATTATTAACTTTTTATTTAAAATTAATTAAAAAATATTTTCTAATTAATTTAATTAAAAAAATTAAATTATTAGTTGGCATTTATAATTTGAAATATTTTTTATATAAATTTATAATGAAAAATATTGTAAAAAGTGTTTTATACTAAATTTAATTATAATAATATACCTTTAAAAAAATCAACTTTCAATTTATAATATATTAGAAAAATTTATCATTTTAAAATAAATTTTATATTAACTATTAATAAAAAAATTAATAAGAAACATAAGAACTAAATATATAAAAGTTATATAAAACGTATCAATGAAATAAAAATAATAGAATTTATAAATCTTTAATTTAATTAGACTTAAAAATTTTCTAAAGCAAACTTGTTAATATTTTTTTAAATATCATAATTTAAATAAATTTTATATAATAAAAAAAAAAGAAAAATTTTTAATTGGATAATTTCTGATATAAATATTAATTATCACTGAATTTACAATAAATTTAAAAATTTACTTCTAAAGGATTTTCAAAAAGCTTGTAATAATCTTCTGGAAGAGGAGCAGTAAAGGGATGATGAGTTGATGCAATTTCTTTTCGTTTATTTTATAAGAATTAAGTAAATAGGAATATTTTTATTATTTAAAATTATAAAAAACTCTAAATAAATTTTATAAAAAAATTATTAAAATTTTTAAAAAATAAAAATTTATAAAAGATCATAAATATTATATAAATAAATAATAATTTGAAAATGTATTCAAAAAAATATATATATAAAAATTTAATATTTTTAAATTTCAAAAATTATAAAATATTAAATAAATTAAATATAAAAAATTATAAAAATAAATTTTATTTTTTAGTAAATTTATAAAAATTATAAAATATTAAATAAATAAATAAAAGCTAATATTAACAAAGTATGAAATATTAAAAAAATATAGAAAAATTGAAAAAAATTATAAAAAAGAATATTTGATATTTTTATATATTTTTTTAAAAAAAATAACAAAAATTTATAAAAAGTATAAAATATTAAATAAATTAATTAGAACTAAAAAAATATTAATTCTTTTTAAAGTTTATAAAAGTATTTAACTTGTTTTTAAATTTTATTATTTAGCATTAATAGTCCGACCTACACAGTGGCCAATGGGATTTAACTACGAAGGACTTACATACTGTAAACACCAGAATGGGGTACTCGCGCCAGGTAGGCATCAAAATTAGTAAAATTTAACCCTAATAGTTGAAGTACACAGCGGCGAGAAAAACCATCGAGAACGAAGTTGATTTCAAGTTCTCTTATACATAATTATTCGAGTGCTTAAATATTATAAGTAGAAGCACTACAATAAAAACAAAATAAAAATTATTCCTTTGAGCTTCGTTGACATGTTCTAGGGCTAACGACCTTGGTACTTTTGTGTAAATTTTTTTATCTTGCTCAATAGTTATGAATATTAATTATTCAGACTATTTATTGAGTTCGTCAATAATAATAAAAAATTTATTAGTCATTAAAAACTTCAATATTTTAATAAAAAAATATTAAAATTTTATTAACGACTTTCAAATACTTTTTTTTTTTTAAAATTTAAATTAAATACTTTTTATGAATTTTAATAAATAAAAAAATAATAGTAAATAAATCATAATTAGTAAAATATTGATTATTAACTTTTATTAATACTCAAAAGAAAAGTATATTAAAAAATAATTATTTTCTTAAAAATTTCAGTAGCTAAAAAAAATATTATATAAATCTTCATTATTTAAAATATATCATATTATAATTTAATAAATGCAATATTTAAAAAAAATATAAATTATTGATGTTAATAAAAGTTATTAGCGAGTTTTTTTTTAAAATACTTTTATTATTATTTTTTTTGCAATTTTTTATATTTATTATAATTATTGGTTTATATATTTTTTTAACTTTTCTTCTATTTATATTTATATAAAAAATAATAATAAAAATTATAATTTAAAATTTTTTTTTCAAGCGAATCAATTAATAAATTTTTCCTTTAGATTTATAATAACTATAAAAAAAAGATCATATAGAATATGAAATTTATTTTTTTTACTAGAGTATTAATAAATAATTATTTTTTATAGGTTATTAGTCAATATAAAATAATATTACAAATATTTATTCTTTCATATTTAAAAACTAAATATTTAAATCTTATATCTAAATTTAATATGTTATTAAGATTTCAAATATTTAGTAAAAAATTAATTAATATTTATAATTTTTAACAGCTATTTTCAAATTACTCTAATTCTTTAAAAAATTAAATTTTATCATTTTTAGTAAAAAAATGATGAAATTTTTATAATTGGTAAATAATTTATCATTATAAAGATTATTAAATTTCATTAAATATAATAGCGATTTTCATATTACTTCTATTTTCTTTATTTTAAATTAAATATTTTCGTAATGTTAATAATAACGAAGATAAATAAATATAAATCATAATTTAAGAAATGTTTCTTTACAAATTAAATTATTTAATAGATAATGAATTCAAATTTGATAAATTTTTAAAAATATAAGAATTTTATTATTTAAATTTATTAGTTTTCATAAATTTAATAGCGATATCCAAATTATTATAATTACTAGAAAATTAAAAGAAATATATTTTCTTAATATTTTTAGAAACATAAAAATGAAAAAAAAAATTAATTAATTAAATTTATAAACAAAAATTTCATTAAAAAAATTATAAATTAAAATTTACTTTACTTTCAAGATTTTATGTATATAAAAAAAATAATTAATTAATATAAATTATTAAATGTTATTATTTTTATAAGAAATAAAATAATAATCATAATAAAATTATTAAAATTAAAATTAAATAAAAAAATTCGCGAATTTTTTAGCAAAAAGTACTTTTTTCTTCGGAAAGTGTAAATAATGGAAACTTTTCGACCCATAAGAAGGAGAATTTTTTTTCCCGAACATTTTTGTCTTGATCAATTAAAAGTTAATTAAATTATAAACTATAAAAAAAATTAAATTAAGATTAATTAGGTGTTTTTTAATTAATATTATAACAATTAATGAAATTATGTAAAAATAAAACTAATAAGATAATTTTTAAAAAAAATTAAAAAATCTAAACAATCGAATACTTCAAAACTATTTTATTAAAAGTGTTTAATAATTGGTATTGAAAAGTTAACATTAATTAAAAAAATGAATTATCTAAGAATTAAATTAAAAAATTAATATATAATTTTTTAATTTAAATAATAACAATTAAAAATTAATTTGAATTCAAATTAAAAATTAAATGGAGGAACAAAATAAATTAAAATTAGTATTAATTTTTTTTTAAATAATTAATTTTCAAAAGTTAATTAAATAAAAAAAATAAATTAACTAAAAAAATTAAATTTAATTAATAAAAAGTTTATTAATTTATATAATAACAATTAAAGAAAAATTATATAAAACTAAAAAAGATTTTAGAGTTAAATAAATTTAAATTTTTTTAATTATTTTAAATAATTTATTGAATAAAAATTGAACATTATTAAAAAAATCTATAAACAAAATGAATTAATTTTGATTATTAATATTATTATAAGTAAGTTAATTAATAAAATTTAAAAGTTAACTCAAAATAAATTAAAGTACAAAACCAAATTTAATTAGAAAATAAATTTTTTAATTTATGAAAAAACAATTAAATAAAAAAAAATTTAAAATCAAGATTATAAATATATTTATTTAAAAATTAATTAAACTTTAAAATTTATTTTTTTAAATAATTTAGTAAATAACGTTTAAAGTTAATTGAAAATAAAATCATAAAAAATAAACAATTTTCAAAACTAAATTAAACTAATAAAAAGTTTTTTAGTTTATATAATAAAAATGAAAAATTATATAAAAATAAAAATAATAAATTAAATTTTAAATTTAAAAAGGTTCAAAAAATAATTTAGTAAATAAAATTTTTAAATTAATATAAATAAATTAAATATAAAAAGTAAATTAAATTAAACAAAAAATTTTATAATTTACTTGATAACAACTACAGAATTTATATAGAATAAATAAAATTATTAACGATAAAAATTACTTTTATTTAATTTTTTTAGAATAATTAAGATTTGAAGTTGATTAAAATTGTAATAAAACAAATTAACTAAAATTGCATTAAATTAAAAACTTTTTAAGATGTATAAATTGCTTCTTTTAGATTATTATAAAGTTAATTAAATTATATTAAAATTATTAGTAAAAATAAAATAATTTATTAAATAAAATTTTAAATATACATTAAAAAATTGTAAAAATAAATTAAGTTAAATTATTTGTTGAATTGACTATTTAACAACATTAATTTTGTTCAATTTCAATTTTTTAAATTTATAGAAAAATTATGTTAAAAAGTTGGTTGAAATTAAATTAAAGAATTATTTAACTAATTTAATTTAATTCGACGGAAAAAAAAACTATTAAACTTTTCATAGCGAGAAGATCAGCAACACGGACGCGGAGTTTTCCTAAAAAGTTCCTCTTTTATATACAGAAAAAAATTACTATTTTAAAAAAAAATAAATTTATCATAATTCACAATTTCAGTGGGCGCGCCGGCCATAAGCAAAACAAAACTTTTTCGGTGATTTGAAGAAAAAAATGCACTATAATAATTAAAATAAATTGCAAAAAAAAATATTTTGAATTTTTTTAATAACTTATTAAAACGCACTTAAAATCATTTCGAACTTTGCAGCTAAAAAATTTAATTAAAAGGCCTTTAAATTCGCGATCGCATTCTCTAAAAAAAAATAATTTCTATACAAAAAAATTGTTTTAAAATTTTTTTAAAATTTTTTATTTTAATTAGCACCAGCGAGGACGAAGCTGCCAGCGCCTGCCAGTCGCTAAAATCTTTATTTTTAATAAAATCAGCACAGTCGGGAAAACTTAGGGCCAAAACTTTAAAATCCGAGTTTTCCGAGTTAAAATTATTAATTTTTTTGAAAAAATCTATATGTGGACTAAACAATGCAGTGACGTCTACTATCTTTAGTAAAAAAATTAAATTTTTTTCTTTAAAAAAAAAAAAGAAAATATTATTACACAATAAACCTTTTCTTCGAAAGTTAAATCGGGCTTGTCAGTGCCGTACTAAAAAAATTTATAAAATTTATAAAATTTGAGAATATAAAATTAAAAAAATTAAAAAAAATTAATGTAAAACTTGCCAGTGCTAAAGAATCCTCATACGAAATTATTGGAAACGGAAGATCAATCCGAAACCCCTGCGAAGACCAAATTTCGTTTAAGAGATTTTCAACAAGAGTTTGAATTTGACGCGCATCGGCAAAAGACATTTCAAGGTCGAGCTTAAAAAAAGTATAAATACGTAAAAAAAATTACCTAAAATTTAAAATAATTTGTTGCCTGCGTAAATTCGGGCTGCCGATCGGACCGTAACGGCTCATCGCGGTAACAACGCGCAAATTGATAATATTTTTCGATGCCACCAGCAATTAACAATTGCTTAAACTAAATTTTTAAATTTAAAAATGAATTTACTTTTTTTATACTAAATAAGTTTTGCTACTAACAAAAAGTGATTATATTATAAAAATTTAATAATTTATAAGAAATAATGGGTTTAAGAAATAAGTGTTCCACAGAAAAAATTATCGTTATTGAATAAATTAACGTAAATAACGCGAAACAGAATACGAAAAAAAATTTCTTTTAAAACTGCATAATGAAGCAAATAAAAAAAGAGTGCGAAGTATTTATAAATATTATAAATAAAAAAAAAAATATTAATAACTCGTAACTTGCTGGGGACTTTGAGGCAAAGCATAACAATGTCCAACGGATCGTGTTAAAACTAAATATTCACGAGCACCTTCCGGTGTGGGCTTAAACAAAGTAGGCGTTTCTACTTCTATAAATCCTTTAAATTATAAATATAAAATTACTTTTTTACTTTTAAATTTTTTACAGTTTCACGAAAGTAGAGTCAATGATTTCGACCAAACTTTTAAAGGTAATGAGACCTTTTTCATCCAAAAAATTTCTAATAATTTTAGCAATTTTTGCGCGTGTTACTAAATTGTTGTGTAAGTATTTTCTCCTCAAGTCGAGATGACGATGTTGAAGCCGTGTTTCTTCTTTAGGCTAATAATGATGTTAATATAAGTATAATAATTAATACAATAAAGTCAAAAAACCAATATTGAGTGATCATTAACAATAACAGGAAGATTTGCTTTGTTAAGCAATACTATTGTACTAGCAGAAACTTCATACTTGCCGGTAGCCAAATTCTAATAATTGTTTAAAAAGTTAACTCAAACTATAAATATTAAATTAATACCATATTTTCATTACTTCCTGGTCTCCTTTGCACTTTACCTGATACATAAAGAACACTTTCTAAAGTCAAGCTCTCCGTTATCGAATTATAACTAGTATCAGCCCTGGTAATTACTTGAGTTACGCCCGAAGAATCTCGCAGCCATATAAATTTTAGATGCCCAAAGTTACTAAAGCAAAAATATTAATTTACTGCAACTATAAAGCAAAGGTTATAAGCTCTAAACAAAAAGTTTTTTCTTCCCAAACGGCAGTTTTGCTTAGCCAAATAATAAGTTTAGAAAGTAATAAAAATCTAACCGAAAAGCATCAACCCAACCGCAAAGATGGACGGTCTGATAAACGTCACTTTCACTTATTAAACCACATTTATGAGTTCTCTTAAAATTAGAAACTTTATTTATATCAGTTAAAGCGCTGAACGTAGTGGAAAACCGCTTTGGGGCTTTACAACTTTTAAAATATACAATAATCCTACAAAAAAAAACTAGCATGAACCCAACCAGCCCTAATGGAGGGGTACTAGCCTGGTAGGCTTTTAAGAAAAGCATTAGCAACGAACGCACAAACGTAGTTCCTTACAATGTTTTTTTTTAAAAAAGGGAAGCACTGACTGAAACAGCATCCTGTTCTTTTTGTATTGCAGTGTCTATAGAGAACTTTATTATTTTCATATTTCACACTTCTCCATCTTTAAACCACGAGCTTTAACAACCGGTTTAGAGACGGCCACAAAAGTCTACACGCTCGCGTCCACCTACAAGTAGAACATTAGAATATCGGTGTACTACGAGCTCTAAAGATTTCGGGCTTCCTTTAAAACCAAATTTTTTGCTTAACAGTGCGAGTTAGGGTAGATTATTTGGGCGCATGCCTTTATTAAAAGCTCTACATAAAAATCAGGGGGTAACTTGAAACATTTAAATAGTTCAGTTAGCAATTAAAGTAAAGTCATAAAGTCATAATTTTTTGATATACCAATCGTTCACCTTCAATAATTAAATTTTACAAAAGTATATAGTTTCCGACTTCTCCAGAATCTGAAGGCTGACGAAAGGTGTGAATGCAGCTGGTATAGTTTTGGGCTCAGGCTGGTAAACTAAATAAATAATTATTTGTGTACATATGGCTTCAGGGTTACGACGAAATCCAGTACACTAAGTAACTGTATTTGTTACGGTGGTGCACATATTACCTCGAGCATTTAATTTTTTTTAGTTATGAAACTCACAACTTTTCTTACAAAATTTTATTAGGTTTGCTTAAATTATCGTAACGTTCTGAGTAAGTCTTAAAGGAATCGCTTGGACCGGACAATTCTTGTTATATTGTGTTTAGTAAAGTGTATCCTACATTTCTGTTAGAAACCTCGATGTTGTTGGACCTTCTTGTCTTAGTTTTGTTATGTTTTTAGCCTTTTTGTTATGACGCTGGCGCGTTTTATTATCGTCATTGGTATCCTAAGGGCTCCTCGTCTTCCTCACGCCAGCTAACGCGAACTTAAGGAAAGACTGGAGTTGTGTTTACTCTCTTTACAGTAGATTAATATTCTATTATGTTGTTTTCTTCTTAAAAAAGTTACATTTTATTGTTAAATTTTTTTTTTTTACTAATATAGCTTTTAAATATTTATGCAAACTTTATATAAAAATAGAAAATTTTAAAATAAAAAAGTTAATAAGTAATAATTATAAACTGCCAATCATCATTAATCCAAAGTAAAAAAATTTTACGTTATATATATATATATTAATACCTCCTGGTTTTTCAACGCTCCTTTCCATCTGCATAGAAGTAGCGGCCTCTTGGTTTGTTACGAAGGCTACTATTACAGGTGTGATTATTGAAAATAGTAGTGATCCTAAATATTTCCAGTAACTCGAAGATGTAAATAAACGATACCATTATGAAGCTTAGTATAAACAGACCCTAGGTCGAATGAAAATTTTAACACAATCCTCAAATATCTCTCTAATTCTGGTATCGAATATTAATAAACTTTACTAATTCAGATTTGAGTATGTTTTTTCTGTTGCTTGGAAGATTGCTACATTCATACTCCTTTGCAGAACATTTATCCCTCGACAATTCATTAATAACTATAAATCATTAGTTTGCTATCTTCGGTAGGAAAAGTTTTGAAAGCTATCATAGTGTTAATAATATAATAATTTTATTACTTGCTATTATAAAATTTTATTAAAAATAATTAGAAATCATTCTAATATTTATGAATATGCCACGAGTATAATATATTATAATAGCTACAAATCTGATTTTCCTGAATATTTAAAAACTTTTCACAGATTATAGCATTTGGGGTTCTTGTACAGTTTGAAGAAAATTTTCGGCATCTTTGAAAAGCTTTAAAAAATTGTGACTGATCCTAATTTCCACAGGGCCTAAATCCATTTCCTATGCTACTGGTCACTAAACTCGAGATTTTTGCAGAGGACGTTGCAATATTTTTATCTTTAAAAAGTCAATATTTAGCTTAATAATATTTGTAAATTAACCCTTGTTTTTAATCTAAATCATTATCGATAAGTAAATAGCCCAAAACCATCGAATGAGGGTTTGCTTATTTAATTATCTCATGTAGTGAGAGATACTAAACTTAGATATGATAAACTTATCAACTATGCAATAAGAAAAGCAAAGAAAGTTTGAAGGTCATCATAACTGCCTACACAGCAAAAGCCTTTTTAATATAAACAGCAAAATTCGACTGCAGATTTATCAAATCAGGGGCTCAGTATTTTTACAAACTAATCTAAAGCCCCAAATGCTTAAGGATTACTTTAAATAGATTGACGAAAAAAACTTTGGCTAAAATTATACACTAGAATTGTCTATTTCAAGTGCTTTGAGTTACTATCCTTACGAATATAAAAAGTGCCTAAGTTCGCGGTATCTACCATTGAGCTAAGCCACCTAAACTGGTGCACTTATGATGAGGAAGCAGCAAAAAGCTATAGTTAGCATGACTGCGCGTTATGTTTTAACTAAAAATAAAAGAATTAATGACTTTGAGCGGTCAATTATTTGTTCATGATTTCCCCGCTGTCGTTTATGATGCAGCGAAGGTAGCAGAAATTCTTTTAGAAGAGTTTACATCTAAGTTTTGACTTAAATACTAAATATAGCATTGTACATAATTAGAGATTACATTTGTCAACGTCGAAATTAACGGCTTTACTAATAGCTTTCTGTGACTATTTTTATTTTAGCCTCCCCTCACGTTATAAACAGACTTCTTCCGAGGAAAAGAGAACTTTTCTTTATCAAATATACGTAAAAATTTTTTCGAAGATTTGACAAACTGAACTCTAAAGAAGTTGCTATAAAGAATAATCTTGAGAGTAATTATCTTTATAAAAGAAGATAAAGATGAAAATCAACCAAGATTTTTGTAAAAATTGTTATACGAGGGAAGAAGAATAATTATGCAAAATATATTTTTCTATAGTTTTAACGTATACTTTAACTGCTAGTGTAGCCGAACTTATTTTTTTTAGTGCCACTTCTATTACACTTTTCATGCCTTTTTAATACACGCGCAGAGAGAGCTAGAAATTACAAAAAAAAATTATTTTAGAGAAATAACCGGTAATAAACGAGAGTTCAAACTTTATTTTTTTTTCACTAGTTTTCCCCTAATATTTAGCTCTTTTGCAATAATGAATTGTTCGACGGTACAACGCGTATAATGCACCATTGAGCAGTACCAGCTAGATTGCCGCTCTCGCCTAAGTCAAGAGAAAAGTAAGTGAAGGTGATCTTACATTGACGAATTTGTTTTTTATAGCACTTGCCGCCTCATCCCCTCCCTTGGTAACAGTTGTTAAACCTAGCCTCTCTAGGCGAACACATGTGGTCGCAAGCGGGCTAGAGCGAACAGAAAAAAAGCTTATATTTTTAATATTAAATTTGACTTATATATGGGTTCTAAGTTAAAGGCTATAGGTTAATATTAATGTAAGCAAGCCCAATAATTTATCTAAGTTAAACCTTTAGCGCGACCTTTTTTCACGCCTCTCTTAAGGGTCGATATCAATAACCCATGTATAACTGTTTTTAAGCTGTTTAATAAGCCTTTATTTTGTGGAGATGTGAAAAGTTTCTTGCTAAGTACTAGCCTTGAAGAATATCTGCTTTTGGTAATGTAATTTACTCTCACCTGTAATTTTATGAATTATTTTAGGATGTAATCGGAATGGTTTAATCTTTTTTGGCGCGTTTACACATGCACTACAAATGAAACAGACAGTTAAAAATTTCCTCCTTTTATAAAAAGCATCTGTTCCACTTATTCAATATTAATTCTTTAAAAAAAATTATCTTCGTATTTCTCCGCTTATTTATACCTTTTATGAATGAGGTTTGTATACTGCTATATACCTGTTAATGTTGAGCAACAAAAAAAAGTAATATTCAGCACAGCACACCACAGTGATGCACGAAATTACTGATGTGCATGAGGGTGGGGCGCAAGAAGTAAGAAAACTCTTTAATTCTATTTTCGACCCGGTTTATAAATTTATAAGTACTACTGATTTGTGAAGATGTTCGGTAAATTCAAGGGAGGAGCGCTTAGTGTCTTCAGTAAAAGTATAAAAATTAAGCGGATTCATATATAGTAAACTTATGTTTTGATAGGGATAGAACTTAAAGAGTTATAGAAGCCAGGTGATTTATTACGAAATGAGGTGCTTAGTGAAAATAGACTAATAGCTTATCAATTTTATAAGCAAATGCCCTGAAAAGCTTGAGAATCCCAAAAAAATTCTGCAAAGTGATATTGTTTTAACTCTATTATTTAAAAATAAAATTTTAATTTAATAATATTAAATTAATTTATAATGTACAGGGACTAGTAACTATATAATACTTGATCAGATGAAAATTATAGCTGAAAAAGAGTTATATTGTATGCGTGAAGATGAGAAATATAGTTATTAGAGTAAACAAAAAATAAATGATTGTCACATGAAGTATAACTAACATACATTACGATCATAAAAATTTACTTCTCCATTACAAGGCTCAGATGAATTTAATATTTGGCACTACACTTATTGAAGACAGAGAAATGAACAAATTAATAAAGGAGACCTACTTAAAATTTTGCGAACTTGCGAGAGGGTTTTTTTAAAAAAATTGTCAGCATTAACCCGTCTGATTAAAATTTAATAAACATGTTCATAATTTAAAGCAAATATTGTAAATTTAAAAAACTGGAATGTTTTTTATTTAAACATGCCATCCTTTTTCTAAGGGAATAAAAATTATTACATGGAAGTTGCGAAAAAAAAAAATTCGCATTCGTAAGTAGATTTTGGTCGTAAAAATTTGGCCCTTTGGTTCCAGCTAGACGCTAATTTTAACAAATTGCAAAGGAATTTCTAGGCGTATTCTTATTAAGAGATCTTAAGAAACAGTTATGCAATTCACGGCGTAGAACACCAAAATATTCTGAGGTTGAGATGAGCGCTGGAAGCCAAAGTTGTTCGAGTGGTATGGCAGCTTACAGAACTAAGTATTTGGCTAAGTAAATTTTAACACTTACTTAGAACCTTTTTCGAGTATACGCGAAACCTATTCAAGCTGTGAAGCATTTTTGTCGGCGGAAGAATCCTCTTCATCCTCTGGTGAGTGGAATTCCTCTTCCGAAGGTTATTTTTTCCTTGGCAACCAATTTAGACCTGGAAATCTTTATATTTGTCTTTTTATATTGTTTAAAGATCCTCTGAACAGCGAGCACAGTGAAGATATTGAGGATGTCTTAGAGGATACTAAGAGTAATATATTCCTTGAAAAACCGGTAGATGCCACTTTGGGCGATGAGGGAAAAAACAATATGTTTGTGCTTATCACCGAATTACGCCTTGCTATAGATCTTTAAGTTTTATTATCATAGTGAACTCGCGAATGTTGGTTATGGCAAGAATGAAAGCAGAGCGGAGAGGAAACTTTGCTCTGAACTACTAATAAAACTTAATATTGTTAATAAAATTTTTTAAAGGGCCCTTAGGAGATTAGGGGGGGCTAGCACAGCCTGGGAAACTGAAGCAGAGATCCCCCGAGCGCTCAGTGAAGTTGAAATTTTAAAAAGAGAGGAGAGAGTACTGATTTTTTTTACACTTTTATTTTTTTTAATATAAAGAGGATTAATTATATAAATTTAGGCCAAAAAGAGGAAATTAAAAGCTAAAGAACAAGATAAAATACTCCTGGTGAGCAGAAATTGTACTAGGAATATAGAAAACGAAAGACTGAATTTTTACCTCTTCATTTAAAATTTTATACCAATATATTTATTGATAAGCTAAACTTGCTTTTCTATTTTATATATTAAAATTAAACATGCTTTAACTGCATACTAGCAAGAAACCATCTCTGCACTTTTAAATTCAAATAGAGAAGATAAAACTGACTATGAATCTGAAATTGAAATAAAGGTGGGCCTTGCTTGTAATAAATTTAGTTAGTAACTAACAAAAAATCATAGAAAGAACTTTCTGTGGATGATGATAAATTTATAACAAGTCAAATTATTAATAAAAATGGGTCGCGGTATTATTTAAAAGGCGATTTTCCAACCAGTTATGGAGATCGCCACATACTAGCCAGACCCCGGGGTCTCACTGAGCGTCTCTGCCAGGCGCCAGGCTGCTCAAAGCCTCGAAGTTATAGAACAAGTAAGACAAAAGTTCCGGTTTGCTCAAGTTTGCTTTGTTATAATAAAGTAAAGTAAATAAAATTAAATAAAAATGGAATTTGTTTCAAATTAATATTTTATAAACCGACAATGTTAGAATTATATTTTAATTTATTGAAATAATATTTAAACATAACATTAGGGAGACATATGAGACTCACCTAAATTTAATTTTGTATAAAAAAATTAAGTACATAGTAATTTTTTTTGTTTACGTCTTGGATTTTGTACCATTTTTTCTAACAATCGTTTGATAACTCTATAAGCGTAAGTGATCCAAATTATAACTTTAGATGTAAATTTTACTACGCTGTCTACAGTTAGCGCGAGTTTAAATTTTGGGTCTAAAGGAAAAGTCAAACAGGTATATTATCACAATTTATCTGAAGGAGCAAACTATAGAACATGACAAATGTAAATATTGTTGGAAACCATTACCAATTTTTTTCAGTAAGGTATAAAATATAGTTAAGTTATTATGATTATTAATAAAATACAAAACTTTTCTGTTAAAACTTTATTAAAAGTTCTTATAATACGTTCCTTGTGAAAGGTCGTATGACAGTATTTGCCCCTGATACACGGAAAAGAATTGCCAATCACGTTATTGACCATTCTGAAACTGCTATACAAATAATACGCGGCGTCCTTATAAGGTTCGGCTTAGCCCGTAAACTAGAAGATTTAAATAGAAAAAAACGTTCATAGTACGCTAATCGACTAGAATAATTTATTTTATACAATTAAACAACGACAAAAAACGTAGAGTTGCACTTCCGATACTAGTATTTATTCTTAAGGACACTCAAGACTGGCGAGGAATATATCTGACAAAACAGCAATATAGTTCAACGACCATTAGACTACGACTAATATTAAGTTAACAATAATCAAGATGTAAAAGAAAGAATAAACCAAAACATTATGTATAATAATATTATAATTACTTAAAAACTTGACGATAAACTTCCCGAAAAAAACTAAATAATGCCTCGAATGCACAATTAAAATTGGCATATTGATAAATAAACAAAATTTGGAACTATCTATAACTCAAATAACGCGGGTCAAAAGCCTGTATTCGTGAATATAGACTTTCAAGAAACCGACTACTCAACTATCATTCAGAACTCTACTTACAAGCGCACGCGCATCTTGAAGAATTTATGCAAGTCTCATAATAATTATCGTCAATATCGGCTATTATAAAAATCAGATAATGCTTTTTAATGCTTTTAAAGATTAATATATATATGCTTTTATAACCACGCCGCCTACCTACAGGTGTTATACAGCATCGACGTAGTGTTTAAAATATTCTTTTAAGCTTATAGACTCTTTAATAATGCACATGCTTCCTAGAGGTTAATCTCTACTATTCTATAGGCAGATTACATATTACTTGGTAATCAAAGTTGTTAAAAAATATGGGCGTGAGGTTAAAACAAAACATTTATAACAGGAAAAGAGGGTCGCATCAGTGGGAATAATGTCCCTAACAGCTGAAATACGACGGCAGTTCTCAATGCTGGAACGATGGCTTTACTTATTTAAAGTTATTGACTTGTACTCATGAATGTCGTAATTAAATGAGGCCAAACTCTTAATGCTATTGGCCTCATTCAGCATCTTGTTAGGCACAAGGCTCTAAGAAACCATGTTCAGTTAATATATAATTTGTTTAAATTAAAAATTCCGGCCTTATAGACCAGAACAATCTATTGAAATTACCTGTAGACTATAAAACTAAAATTTCTCTAGAGCCTTATAAACTGAAATTCCGCCACAAAACAAAAGAAGAAAAATACTCTTGCTTATTAAGGTTAAAATGAATATATATACACAATTTTATAAATAATTTTGAGATATTATATCTACTAGTTCAAATTAATTGAATGAAACGCCAAGCACACATACCCTCAATTATATAGAGTCTATCTCCTTTAATTGCGCACTGTAAGTGGCTCATGTCACCAACATAAAGCAATTCAATAAGCCTGTAGGTCCACATAGTTGACATAGGCATTGCTATAATTTGTATATATTACACTACGAGTAGCGAGGGCGATAGTTAATACAGCAACAAATGGTGAAGATGAGGTGGGGCATACTGAGTTAAGTACAGATACCATTTGAGATATCTGTTTCGCTATTAAGGAAAAGAATTTCAATTCCACCGCGTAACAATCAAACCAACAAGTCTAATGGGAAAAAGGATATAAGATTTATTATATTCTTTTTGGAAATAGAGGAAAATTTCTGAATTATTTTTATTATAGTATAATAATACTGTGAGTACCGAAAAAAGTATATTGAGGTGTTAGTTAAAAAGTAGTCCAATCATAAGATGATATTAGCCCCCAACTAAGAAATAAAAGTTAGAATTTATCCAGCCTTCGGTACAAGGTTGAGCTCCCCTGAGTAGAACGAGAGAAAGGTTGCCATGACGGCTTGCCAACCGATGTAAAACCAAGTACTTGTCCCCTAGGCAGCTGTGCTTCCCAACGGACCTCAAACCGTCGACTTTACCATGGAGTAATGTAACCACTTAACTACAGAAGCAGTTCCCTTCAAGGAGGGATTGAACCTCAAATCATTTTTTTATGAACAGAGGGTATTACCATTATACAATTGAAGGACTAAATTACCATCTATAAAGGCTAATTAGCTTGTTCTGTTGGCTAAGAATCGTGTTCTGCTATTATAGTAATTATAGGGGTAAAAGACTCAAACTTTTCTAATTACCTTAAAAAATAGTGCCTTGTCCTTAGGCTAACTCCTAATAAGATCTAAGATGGTTAACAAGCAATATAGAACTTGACTCTATATTCCCAAGGCCGAAAGGAGTTTACATTAAACCGATTACCCGAGGATGGCAAATTAATGAATGAGAGTTAAAGCCCTCCGTGTTAATTTGGGGTTTTCTTTCCCTTTTGCCTGCTTCGAAGATTTGGTCAAAATTGTTGGGATCAAGCGCAAAAAAAAATTATCTTCAAATCTTGAAAACTAATGCGGTGCGCACGGGGGTTCTATTATTCTGTAATAATTTTACCTTCTATGCAGAACAGTAACCCTAAACACACCGCTCGGGTATTTAAAAAGTTCCTGGTCGGCATAGAAGAAGAAGGAAGAAGCCCTCAAAAACATGGCGTGGTCCCCCATAAAGACTGGACTTGAATTCGAGCGAAATAAACTCGATGGGAAGGTCAGGAAAGAATGTATGACACCAAAGGAATAACCGTAGAGGACTTTTCAAAGAAAGTGGAACAATACTTAGCAGGCTACGCTGAAAAAATTGGTGGAAAGCATGACGAGAATAATGCTTGCGATAAATTCTTTAGAGAAGGATATTTTGAAGAGACTATAATTTCAATTTTTTTTTTTTGCAATGTATATCGACTTGTAAATATATCTTTATCGTTTATTAGGGAGTTTGCCACAAGTAATATTTAATCTGGTTTGATTAAATTGCATCAATTATTATACCATTTATCAACTTTAACCTGTTTCCATTCTTTCGTGAGCGATAGTGTATATCGAAAATTTTTTTACTTCACAGGTATAAATACAGATGACCATATGTCAGTAAACGCTTTCCTTGCGATGAATTCATCTCTTGCTCTGTTTTTATATTTTTTTATAAATTCACCATTTTTTGTATACAAAACTAATATACTTTGCCGGTGTTTATAAAAAAGAAAATAATAAAAAATATGAGGATCCAGGGCCGGGTATTGAACACTTTGGGGAAATGCAGTTTTAGCATGTTAAGATAGTTTAAACCTTCTTGCTGCACTATGTTATGGACTTAGAAAATAAAAAACTTACAGGCTTATTAATAAAAGGAGGCGCCCTAGTCCTTTTTTTTTCTGTGGACACATCGGCAAAAGTTAACGCTCTTAATCTTAACAGTATATCCGGCTTCTTTTTAATTTTTATTAAAGTTTATAATTGGAATAAGATTAGCTAGTTGGGAACCAGAAAAGGCTTCCTATCTGAATATAAAACTCAAAAAATATTATATAAGCGGTTAATACTTAAGCCTTTTAGGGTTAATAGATGCATAGTTTCTAACTGCAGGTGCTGATAAATCTGTTCCGTTATAATTTTATAGACTGAGATTTGTGATTTTATGAAGTATAAATTTTTGTTCTGTGTACGGTTACTTACTAGTTATTCTTAGCTTCGAATTTGTATCCTTCCATTCATAGTACTTAGTTTACGTTTTTGCAAACTTTACGGAGAGAGAGCGTAGTATTATTATTAAAATGAAGATAAGTTGTAGTTGCATGACCTTTCTCAAAATATTAAGCTGTATTATTACAGCATTTTTGGCTTGTTTTACTAAATTCTTTCTTCAAGAAAGAATGTTTTAAGTTATGTTAAATCTAGTAAGGTCGCTCCTTTTCAGTATTTTAAGCGGAAGTCTCCTCTCTCCCTCTCTCTTTTTTTAATATCCATCTAAACAGTACCATCCTAACCTTTAACTACCTTTACTATAATCGCAGTTAAAACTTTTATCTGTTGTAGCTGGGATAGTGTACAGTCATCTATGTATCGTCAAAAAATTAATTAAAACATAGCTTTTAAAATTAAGATCAACAACTCCAAAAAACTTTAGAAAACTTTTAAATTTATTTTACCCTTTTGAAACTATAAATCCGTGGAACAAATAAGTTGACCATTGAGGGTATATATATTTATTTATACTAACTGTTACACTAAATTACAGGAAAAAAAATAAATTTTTATACTGAAATCATAATAGCCTTACTTAACTTTTAAACAAAAATATTATTGTAAGTATATAATCTCTTCAGTTTCTCAAATAACTCAAAACGCTACAACGTGGCCACTGGCTGATTTAAGCGTAAACTGTAAACAATTTATATAATAATTAAAATAAGATCAGAATTATTATTCTACTAAAAATAACAAACAGCCTTAAAATGGAAATAATACCGTTAAATTATTTATTAACCTTGAAAATTAGAGAATCCTA